TCTGGTTCTCTTCAGGAGACTTTCAATAACAACACCCAATTGTTTATTTAAGCATTTTTTAATACTAACACTATTTTAATGTTCCCCCCATGGCATTTTTTGGGGTTTTTGTGGGTTTTTGGCCGACCTAAAAATTATAGTTGCGATGAAAAAATGCTTAAATAAACAATTGGGTATTATTATTGAAAGTCTCCTGAAGAGAACCAGAGTTTTCCAATCGAAAAATATTGATATTCAAGAATGCTATACCATTTCTGCGAAAAGTTGTTTTGTTCCTAATATAAAATACATGGAAAACTTTGGGCGACCTCTAAATATTTTTTGATTTCAAAATAAAAAAAATTAGGACATGTTTTTTTAGTTTAGAAAAATCCTAGTGGGTGAGAGCATAAAAGTTCCAACTTTACTTTTTNATTAGGACATGTTTTTTTAGTTTAGAAAAATCCTAGTGGGTGAGAGCATAAAAGTTCCAACTTTACTTTTTCACATGCATTTTTTGAACCACCCTAATGTGCATACATATGTATATGCAATTCCACTGCTTAAGAGCTTTAACGGATTTAAGAGAATGTTTGCGAAGCTTTTGTACATTTTGTGTGCAAACAAATAACAAAATTTAATTAAATGTGGTAAGTGATTTCAATCAATTAAATAAATTGTTGAGTAGAAATAGTAAATTGGCTAATAAGCTTTGGACTATAAACGACTGAAAATATACATAAATGCTGTGTTTTGTTTCTACATACTTACACACATCTGTATGTACAAATATTTGCGTTATTAAATGCAGTAATAATAAGGAGAATTTGAATAGAAAAGAGGCTTAGGTTCACTTGAACAATTAAAAAACCCAAAATAATAAAATATCGAACTCTGAACGTAAAGAACACGGAAGTACTCAGTACTGAAAAATACTCTTCACTCTGATACATGTACTCAGGATTGATACAAAGTACTTAGTATTAAATGTCGAACGAATACATATAATCTGAGTTCTATTTACATTTAACGGTATTCAAAAATGATTGCACTCAATTTCAAGCTTCAATAACTTTCAAATATAATAATTGTAACTGGGTACATTACCATTCATTTGACATACTTTTGATTTAATATATTAATTTCAATAAAGTGTTGCCAGCTTGAGAGATTTCTACACTAAGCATTGAAATGTGAGCAACAGTGCGACAAGATCAAAAAAAAATTCAAAACACACGAAAGAATCGAATTACTCATACTATACGAAACTATGGGCCAAATATAGTAAAACTGCGTTTTTAATTTTTCACTCTAACGTCAGGATTTTTTTTTCAAAGGACTGCGAAATTTTAAAGATATGATTAATTGAATAGAATTATTTTAAAAAATCAGTGCGATGTAGAATAAGATTATTGGTACCAAATGAGAGAGAATACAATTTTTTCAAATCTTGGTAGTGGCACCTAATTTTTTCAAATTTGTAAATTTTTGTGCCCTATAATGTTGATATTTTAAGGATCACCCTAATACGTACATACAATCCAGGCTTACAAGTATTTTCTCAGAGAATTTTTTACAACAATTTGATTTTAATTTTTTTCACGCTAGTTTCTCATAAAAGTATGGTTAATACTACAACAAGAAACACGAAAATAGAATTTCTAATAAATTTCATGCAAATCAACTTTTTGATCAGATGTGTTTTTTTAGATTTTCATGTTTTTTTTGAAAATGCAGTTTTGTAGCAAAGTTTGAAGTTTCTAAAAAAATGGCGTTGATTTAGAGCATTTTTTCCAATACAAGGTATTTTCGAATTTGTTTTTATGAAAGAAAATGCTTAAAGAATTGCCAAAAATCAACGGTAAGCTCTAGCTACTTCAAATTTGCACTTTATTATACTAAAATTCAATGAGCTAGAAAACTGCATACATAATCTGATGAAAACGTAGAAAATAAACATGAAAATTTATTGGATTATAAAATAAAAACTTGTTTAACTCCTAGATCTTGTGCGAGAGAGAAAACCCATATGCTATCTTTAGAGATAGCAAAAGAGCTCCGGTCGATTTTAAAATTTTAGGAATACTGGAACTCCCACAGAAACGAGGCCTTGGCATGTCGTAACTACTGATTCAGTATTTCATTTGAACTTCACTGAAACCCCTATTAAGTTTAGAGCTTCCACATAGGATTGATTTAGCTAAAGTTCTGAAATCAGCAGGTTTCTGGGATGGAAGACTCCTTGCCTTTAAAAAATAGAATAAAATAAAATAGAGAAATTCTGTTTTTTTTTTTAAGAATGGAAATTTAAATCAACTTTTCACAAATTCGCGACCCAGATCTCCCATAAGATGTTCCACCGTGTAGCTTTTACCAACACTCTCAGGCTACTCCAACTTTGATACAGCCTTCTTAGACTGGACTAATTGGATACATTTTTCTGTGCCGAATTTTGTTGAGTGTTAAAATAAATTTAAAATAGCTTCGTTAACATACAAATATATGTAGGTTAGAGTGGGTCAAATTTTTTGCATCAAAGGCACATTGCGATTATGGTTATTTGGGCCATTTCAAGCATTTTTGCCCAAGAAACCATAGATCTAAAACGAATTTCGAGTCAGCGATTTTTTCTATCTAGTTTATTTTTTTTTTTTTAAAGTGGCTCACCTGTTGAAACAGCTGCATCGGAAACTAGCCAAAATGTGTATCTGGGGGTTTTTGGGGTCGAGGAATCCATTTCTTTTGAGGGCCGCCAGAGGGCGCTTCCGTACTTTTTTTTTGGATTTTAACGCCTTATTTCCGAAAATCGACAACATTGTTTCGAAAATCCACGAAATTTGACTTTCTCATAATGCAGTTTCAATTTCTAAATAACCTAAAATGTTCAGCGTTGAATCGCTGGCTCGAAATTCATTTTAGACCTATGGCTTCTTGGGCAAAACGGCTTGAAATTACCCAAATAATCATAATCGCGATGTGCCTCTGTTCATTTTTTTTTGGCCCCTACAAATCGACCCGCCCTAATGTATGTATACTGGGTGCCCTACACCCGACTACCGGTTTCGAATGGAAGTGGGTTAAACTGACCGGAGGTCGATTTTTTAGACGGGATATACATATTTTTACCGCAGATTCGGATTCTGCGCATAAAAATACCCACTTTTGTCGGAAAACTGACCGGAAGTCCACTCTTTTAAATTACGCATGTATGTTTTTACTACAGATTTGGATTCTAAGGATAAAAATACGTAACTTTTGCTTGAAAGTTTTTTCTCGGTAGTGCCTTTTTCTACCTCTAAATGGCCTTCGAGCTTTAACTCGTTCTGGACGTCTGTTAAAAAGTTATGAAAAAGGCACTTTCGAGAAAAAGATTCAAACAAATGTTGCGTATTTTTGTCCACAGAATCCGGCCAGTTAATACCACCAAAAAATATAGAGCATCCCTGATTTGCTTATTAAATTTTTGCGGTTTTCAATAAAAAAACATTTCCCTCCATTTTAGGGTGAGGGAGGAGGGGAGGCCTAGGAACCCTGTATACATACGCACGTAGTAGGTAGAACTTTTCCGAATTGGGCATGAATGCTCATGCTCATGCTCTCCGCATCATAGCTATTATTTAATACGCGTAATGGCCGTTAATGTTGATTTACATAATTTTACTGGATTAATGAGAAGCGCACGCGCGAAACTACTCTAAAAACTTTCTACACTGATATAAGTAAGTATCTTTTAGCGAATGTATTAGCATCTTAGAACAAACAAACATACATATATCCATGAAAATTTTACAAAAATGTTGCTGCAAACTACGAGTACAAAAGCGCTAACTAGCAACACTTTTCAGTGAACGAGTGCTTGTGTGAGTATTCCGCTGGATGTAAATCAACAACTACAAAATACAAACATACACAGTACACAACGTCTAACGGCGCATAGTACTAAATGCAAAACATAAACGAAAGGCGAAAAACGAACTTACAATGCTCATTATGATAACAAATGTTCACACGACGTGACACTTTGTTGGTGCCAAGCGTATTGGGACGTTCCAATTTGGAATTCTGTATATGTACGCCGTCATGCTGATCACGACTGCCAGAAGTGTTGCCACTATTTCCGTTGCCGCCATGGCCACCACCGGTACCACCACCACTGACGTGTTGCACGTGAGTGTGATTCGATTGCGGGCCACCGCTTTGGCCGCCACCTGGTGGTGGCAACATTGAACTCTGACATGATGGCTGTTCGGTATTGGGTGATAGTGTGCCATTACCACCGTGTGGTGCATCAGTCTTGTCTTTTCTGGGTTCTGTTGAGGAGAAGAAAAGTATGGCGTGAGAAAAGTGTGAGTAAAAAAAAGGGTGGTCGCAGGCTGTGTTAGTTAGTTAGTGTGTATGTGTGTGTCTGTCGCAAATGTGCGAAAATGATTTCATAATACAAGAAGCTTAATATTTTTTGTTTCAAGAACATTAAAAAAAAAAATTATTTAGTATAGCAGGGAGAGTTTTATGCGATTGCAGTCAGATCAGAAACAACCTAATTTCGGGTGATTCATAGCAATTTTAAATGGCAGCATAAACAATTTCGGTCGAGCCTTTTGAGCTATTTTATTGTTCTGTTGAATTTTGTCCAAATATAGAGAAAATAAATTTTTTTTTTGGTAGCTTCAGTAATTATAAATTTAGTTTTGTTTTAAATTTCTATAAAAATTCGAAATTTTTAAAATTGCGTAAACGACACTAAATTAGGCTAAGAACACTTCCCTATGTTGCAGAGCGACACCTTTGTATGAATGACTTTATATTTCCTAATTTAGTTTTGAATACATTTTAGGCCTACTTATTCGTAGATCTTCTAATAAAGCTTCTAAGAAAACGGTATAATTGAAAACACCGTAGCTGAAAGTAGTGATTTTAAAGCGCTCTTCAATTTGTCGGCTGGGTATTGCTCCAATATTAATGTGGTTTGATTCTGACCAAAAAATATGATTATCACCAACACTAACTGACCAACGTATAATAATTTATTCAACACTGCTAAACTGTGCTGTGGTCAAACAGCGAAAAGAAGGATATGGATGGAAGCGGAATTAAACAAATGTGCGGTTTTTAAGCCATAAATGTCATGACGGTGTATATAAAATTTTTATGACCGCCATTAATCAGACGAATACATGCAAATACATGCATATGTAGTATATGTATGCATGCACATTAGGGTGGTCCAAAAACAGTAAAGTCGGAATTTTTAATGCCCTCACCCCCTAGGATTGTCTATATAACGGGTGATTTTTTTGAGGTTAGGATTTTCATGCATTAG